TTGAGTCAGTGTCTAACATGGCCACTGGCGAGAAATCGTAGATCAAAGAAGCTTATGTACACCAGAATCTGCGAAGCTCCTCTCGGTCGGAGGCCAGTCCTCACCAGAGGCGTAACCAGCAGCTACTGCAGTGGCTTCCTCAACACATGAGACCGAAGGTTGCCCCCCTCGTTTCCTCACATGGTCTCGACCATCGCCGATGATCTCGATTCGCCCCGTCGCGCGTCAAACCGTACCTCCGTCTCATAAAATCGTGTCACGTCCAAAAACTCTATTGAACTTTTCCGATCCCTGTCCATCGTGCTCAACCATGTCCTCTGATACTCGATACTGATTAATCACAGTTCGTTAGACGAACTGTTGTATCCTCCACCGTTGACCATCATTTGAGCAAGCCCGTAGACCACCAGACGGTATCAGTCGGCATATCCATGCGCGATTTACTCAAGGTTACCCTCATCGCTCTCAGAATCATCCTCATCACCGCTGACCAACATGACCTCACGCTCACGCTTCTCCATGAGCTCCTGGAGGGCAGCATCATCGTGCTCAGTAACGGCCTTGGGAGCCATCTTGACTGTGCAGGCACCGCCGGACTCCTTGATCTTGGCCTCAATCCGTTGAATGGCCTCCTCGAGCTGCTGGATACCGATAGCCTTGTCCAAGCACTGGCTAGTCAAGACGTACAAGGGCGGGGCGACCAGCTTGACCTTGATCTGGTTTTCGGCGGAGTTGTTGGCCTCGGCGGTGCGCAGGGCCTCCTTGACTGCATCGATACCATCGTAGCCGAAGCAGGTAACCTCAATATCGGCACGGACCTTGGTGGGGTGAGGGGTGAGTCTCTTGCTGATGTAATGCGTCAACTCCTTCTTGACGGCTTCGCTGGGGAATTCGACGTCGTTCCACACATCGGGGTTCCTAAGATAACCATAAGTTACACGGTCCATCGGTGGCATTGTTGCCCGCGAGTGCAGCCTTACGTGATGGAGATCTTGAAAGCATCGTGGGAGTGGCCGTATTTGCGGTTCAAGGGCCATCCGATCTGCTGGTATAAGGTCTCAAGAGGGGTTTGGGTGGCCTCGGCGACATGGCGCATGATGGAGTGCACGGCCTTGCTCTTGTTGTATCTCTCCTCACACTTGATAACATCCTCGGGGGAAACACGACGCTTGGACAGATCGATATAACCTGATGACGGGGAACAAAGAGATGTCAGCGGGCCCCAGTTCGATGACGGCCAGATCTGTTGCCCTTACCCTTCTCCTTATCCACACGGAGCACGATGACGACCTCGTTACGGCCAATACGGATGAGCTTCTGGATACTGCGGATACGTCTGCGCGACAGTTCGGAGAGCAGGATCATGCCGTCGATGTTGTCATATTCCAGCAGCTTCACGTATGCGCCCATTTCGGCGATCTAAGCATTGCAGAACCGCGACTGTCAGCCAATGTCTCCTGCCGTCACTTCTCCCAGATCCAGCTGATGCGTACCTGCTTCACATTGACCATGACATAGCTGTCCACCTCCGGGTACTTCTCCTCGTAGAAACGGGAATTTGTCAACGACATTTTCGGCGGGGTTGCGCCTTGTGCTGGGCAGAGCTTTGAGCGGGGTTGAAAGGTCGGACTGGGGGCCGGGAGAAAATGGGATAAACCGAGACTGAACGGTCTCAAGTCGATATTGCCGGGAAAACCACCGAAAGGGGAGCGAAGGTGTTTGCGAGATGGGGTAACGAGGCTTGCCACTTAATCGGGATCACAGAAGCACATTTCGAAAAACCCACATTTGGGCCTCGCGCTTGGCTGAGTCATCACGTGCCATGCGGGTGATTCTCACCGCTCGGCAGAATCCACCCGATAGATAATGGCTGTACTCCGTAGTACGATAAGGTAGGCATTACTTCATCCCTCCCCATTTCTTTGCCTCTTACCACCACCCACTGGGATTAATTATTCACTCACTCTTTTAGATGCGTGTGGTGGCGGGGTGAAAGGAGATTGGAAGGGAGGTCCAGCTTCAGACACGTTGCTCGGCACCGATTTTCTTTTCTCTTCTGCTCCATTGGTCTTTTGGTATGTGCCTTCGTCCAATGTCTACTAAGTTGCCCCATCCTATCCTATGGCTTTGCTTGCTCCGCCTATCTGCTGACGATCCCGCTAACTCTCTTAGCAGTAGCCACCGCGCCCTGCGCTACGGATTCCGCGCTTTTTGACTCGCTGCTTTGCCCTGGACAGTCCATCTCCTAGTTGTGCTGTCTTAGTTGTTTCATTCTTTGGAAAGATTTTTGCTATCTCTTTTATTTCTACCAAATCTGCCGCATATGGCGTATAACGCACCCCTCTAGACTGTCGCATTCCAGATATATTTGGTGACTCGGTGGATCTTCCTTGCGACATTATGCCGGAGACAAACGAGCATCTCCGACAACACCGCTCTTTGCGGGATCAGATCGTGGGCCTTTTCCAAGGATTTTCGCAAAGCAGCTCCGATGCCTCCCACATAGAACGGATCATCGTGCCCCGAGAACCTAGCGATAGAACCCGCTTGCTGAAATCTTACGATGGCGATGACCCTGCATGTGGTCTGAGAGATGCTTGCAACCACGGTACATTTTCCCCAAGGCCGGGTAGTGAGGAATACCACGATGGTACTCCTGAGCCAGATTTTGCCCAGGGGCCCGAGAATATGCCCAGGACAGGGTCAACGGCAGCCTGGCCGGCGAAAAGCTACAGGTCTCTGTATGTTTGGCTTCAAGTCGGTTTACCTGGGCGCGAATGCTGATGACAACAACCTCCAGGTATATCTCATACTACATCCCGTTCTTCAATTGGATACCTCAATATCGTTGGTCGTTCCTGCGCGGCGACCTCATCTCCGCCTTGACAATCGCATCGATCTATATCCCAATGGCTCTTTCTTTGGCCTCGAATCTTGCTCATGCACCTGCAATCAATGGACTCTACTCTTTCGTGTTCCAACCTTTTATCTACGCAATCCTTGGAAGCAGCCCCTTGTTGCTTCTCGGCCCAGAAGCGGCTGGGTCTCTGTTGACAGGTACCATTGTCAAATCGAGTGTCTCGCAGGGACTGTCACGAGAGGATGACGAAGCTGCGAGCGCCATGGTTGTCGGCGTCGCAACTGCCATGGCAGGCTCAATGATACTCGTAGCTGGATTGACCCGGTTAGGCTTCCTAGACAACGTCTTGAGCCGACCCTTTCTCAGAGGCTTCATCACCGCAATTGGATGTGTCATCTTTGTCGACCAGCTCATCCCAGAAGTGGGCTTAGCTGACCTGGCGAGGGATGCGGGCGTCAGTCATGGAAGTACAGCAGAGAAGCTCGTCTTCCTGCTCCGGAATCTCAAGAGCTGCCATGGTCTGACAGCCGCAGTCTCCTTTACCAGCTTCACGATAATCATGCTTTTCAGGTACGTGATTCCCCCCCCAAATGGAGTGGTCGAGTCTCTAACATGCGGATCACACAGAACACTCAAGAAATTCTTGGAGCCACGGTTTCCTCAGGTTGTCTACTTCCCCGACCGGATTATCGTTGTCATCCTGTCAGCCGTTCTTACCTGGCACCTCGGCTGGTATGAGAAGGGGCTTGAAATCCTCGGGCCCGTCCAGGAGACAGGCAATGGGATCTTTGCGTTCAACTGGCCTTTCCAATTCCAGCATATGAAGCATGTACGGACAGCCTTGAGTACGTCCTTTGTCATTGCATTGCTTGGCTTCTTTGAGTCCTCCGTTGCTGCCAAAGGGCTGGGCGAGAAACGAGATGGAGTGCAGGGCATGCCCGTGAGCGCCAACAGAGAAATGGTGGCGCTGGGCGTTGCCAATGTTGTTGGTGGCTGTTTCATGGCGCTTCCTGCATTCGGTGGTTACGGGAGAAGCAAGTTGAATGCTTCCACAGGGGCGCGATCCCCGATGAGTAGTGTCTTCTTGAGCATCATCACCGCCGTCTGTATCAAGGTGATCCTGCCTTATCTGTACTATTTACCGGTGAGCTGGTCCCTACTTATACCATTCGATTACAAACTGACGGCATATTCCAGAAAGCTGTGCTTTCCTCTACAATCTCAGTGGTGGCATACAGTCTAATAGAGGAGTGTCCTCATGATGTGGCTTTCTTCATTCGCTTGCGTGGTTGGACAGAGCTCACATTGATGATTCTTATCTTCGGCTCGACAATCTTTTACTCCTTAGAACTGGGCATTGCGCTGGGAATCGGATTGTCTATTCTAATCCTGATTCGCCACTCCACCCAGCCTCGAATCCAGATTCTCGGTAAGGTCGCTGGTACAAATGATCGATTCGACAACGCTGAACTCCACGGGGAAAACGTGGAGCTCATTGAGGGTGCGCTCATCGTCAAGATCCCGGAGCCCCTGACATTCGCCAACACCGGCGACTTAAAGAATCGTCTTCGCAGGCTCGAATTCTACGGCACCAACCAAGCGCACCCTTCCCTCCCGCGGTCGCGACCCCCCGAGCACAACAAGAACATCATCTTCGACGTGCATGGGGTCACCAGCATCGATGGCTCCGGGACACAGGTTCTCTCCGAGATTGTGAATGAGTATCTCAACCTCGGAGTGAGAGTGTTCTTCTGCCGTCTTCCCAATCGCAATGTCTTCCGCATGTTCGAAAGGAGCGGCATCGTCGACCGCTGCGGCGGCATGCAATATTTTGTGCACAGTGTTGATGAAGCACTGAGACTTGCCGAAGCAGAGGGTGGACCCTTGGAGCCTTGAGCTCCTCGTCGCAAGGCGAGCCAACTTCGCCTCTGGGAGGGTTGTTCGCATTTGGTTCTCCCCTTCGGCATCAATGCCATGTATAGACGTGACACGTGTTTCCGATATATCGCTTGACATTTTTTTTGCTGGTCATAGCCCCCGTTAGATTTGCTGATAGCGATGGAAGCCCTAGAGCTCCAACCCTTGGTAATTTGATTAGAGCTTACCTTTTTCTTCCCTGCGTAAGGGTGGCATGCTTCATTCAGCCTTCAAGAGACCCATGGCTCTCACCCTCCACCCCGGCTGCTCGCCGCACCACGTCTAGAAGCAGCATCTCAGCGGCGCGTAAGGCAACCCGATCCTTAAGACTCAACACAGTAGCGCCAGCAGCAGGAGGAGGAAGTCCCCCATCATCGTGTTCCTCGTCGTCCTTCTCCTCACCATCCTCAGCACCCACCTGCCCGGCACCGGCACCGGCACCAGCACCGGCAACCCCAACCAACTTCATCTTCCCATCCGCGCCCAACATAAACCCCCCACAACTAACCCTCGTCACCCGCACCACATCCCCACCCTCAAGCCCCTTCCCCTCTTTCAAATCCACCCTCATCGCCAGATGCGTATCCAGATACCCCGCGATCTTGCCTAACACATCCCCACCCCCGGACTGATCCTCCTCAGAAACCCCCCCAACTAAACCCCCAACCACCCCCCGCGGCAAACAAACATCCAACCCGCGCAACCCCGGCGCCACCGGCCCCTGAAACCCCAACACGATATGCACATCCCGAACCACTGCCCCGACCACATCATCACCGCCACCCTCAACCCCAGCCCCGCCCCCAACTTTGCGAGCCTCCTCGCGAACGTAGGAGAGATACCCCTCCAACGACCCACCCAGGAACCCAGACGGGAGGGTCAAGCCCGCGGCGTACGTGTCGAACGTCGCAGATAGAAAGGCCAGGAAGGTGTGGCGGAGCGGGGCGGGGAGTTTGGTGAGGAGGAGGGGGAGATGGGTTGTTTGGGTGTGGGCGTGCGAGCGGAGGGTTCGGTGCGGGGCGTGGGAGCGGGCGTGGGAGCTTGATGGGGAGGGTGCGCTGGTTGTTGTGGAGGTGGTAGCGGTGGAGGATACGGCGGAGGGCGTGAGGAGGGCGGCGCGGTAGGTTTGGGTTTCGTAGGTCAGGGTGATTAGGATGCCGGCGCCGGGGGTGCCCGGGGTGGTTGCTGGGCGGCGCGGGCGGCCGCGGGGGCGGGAGGGGGTTGGGTCGTTGGTGTTGGTGTTTGTGGAGGGCGAGGGAGAGGGAGAGGGCGAGGGGTTCGTGGTGGTTATCGCCCGGGTGGTTGTGGTGGTTGTGTGGCCGGACAGGGAGAGCGTGGGGATGGGTTCCCAGGTGCAGGAGAGTAGGGCGCCGGTTTTCGACCGGGGGTCTGCCTCGTCGGAGGCGCCAATTGTTGTGAAGGTTGCGCCGGAGACGGAGGAGGTGCCGGTGAGGTGGTCGCGGAGGCGGGCTGCGTAGGTCTGCAGGGCGTGGTGGTTGTCAAGCAGGGAGGGGAATTCTTTGCCATGGTGCAGCGGGGAGAGTCGGTGTAAAGTCCAGGTTGTGTTGAGGAGGCTCAGGAGGGCCATTGTTGCTTGGGGATTATGGTGGTTACTATGTTTTGTGATTGTTATGGTGGAAAGAGAGGGAGGAAGATAGGGAGCGGAGGAGGAGAGTTTCACATGTCGCGCCGGACTTGGTAGATGTAAGTTAACTTACTGCCCGCGAGTACTGGTAGTCACTTCGTAAGTTCGCCCGCGGAAGAAAAGCATCTCTTGGCAGGGAAGAGCTGCCGCTAACCCCGCCTTGCGCAACATTTACCTCGGAAGAATTCTAACTTTCTAAACTTTAACAACATTTCACAGTCAATACGTGGTCTGATTTGGAGTCTTGTGCTGATTCCGAAATATGCTAGAAATTCGAATTGACGCTGCGGCGTTGCAGTCGTAAAGTTGACACCCGCTGCGTCTCCCGCCATCATAGACACCGAAAAACCCCCTTCCCGCTGGAACCTGGAACGCCTTGCCTCAAAAAACCAGAGAAAATGCAGGATAACGCAGCGCTTGCTAAACCCAAAACGGAATGATTCACGCATGCCAGCCCTCTCTCACGCGGCACTCGCGACAGGACAACAAGACCGGCAGCCCGGGCCAGACCATGACGCGATCGACATCATGGGGCGCCGCATGCCTCGAAGCCAGCTCTTCCCCTACCACATCAAACCAGACGTCTTCTACCGATCCGTGGAGGTGAACGTTTGGCGAGATCTGGAACACCAAGGACTGAATGTCGTCCTTCTCGTTCAACGTGATATCGTTGTGGAAATTGTGCATAAACTCCTTTCGCTGCATTCGCTGACTCCCGCCGTCCCCAATCTCCGCAGAGAAATACTCCACGATCCGCGAGAACGGGGATACGGTGAGCAGTGACCCGATCCAACTGTCATCCGACACCGTAGGCTCATCCGGTGGTACCGTATACCGCAGGTAGGAGACTAGGAGTTGCATGCAGTGGTGCGTGGCTATAAGAGTCGCCGTATCGGTGAACGGGGGTGCCTTGATTATCTTTACTTGCAGCTCCCGGTACATGACTTTACGAATGTGAGGGGGGATGGGAACCGGAAGACGTCCGGCCTCAAATTCTCGGAGGAGGATGTTGGTTTGCTCTCGTCTAGCGAGAGCATAGGTTTCCAAAAAGTAGAGAGCATAGTACCTGGGGCAAGGAATCATATGTCAGAGGAAGGAGTCATCGGAGACAAATCGCAGGGTGATACTCACATCAGAGGAGTGAGGTAGAACCATAACCGCGCGGTCGTCTGCTGCACAAAAGCAGACCGCTCGGCCTTGGAGGAGAAAACCGACTTCATAAAGCCTGGCTCACTGTGCACGAACCGATCCATGACACGATCCGCAAGGTAGCAGCTCAACTTTGAACATTGCTTCTGCCGACGGCGCAAACTGAAGATGTACTTGAAGGTGTAGATATGGCCCCCCCTGGCACTCTTCGCAGGAGGGAACAGGTCCGACAGAAGCACTACATCATCCTCCGGACTTCTAGTATAGGTTTTCTCGCCGTCGATAGGGGAGGGAAGCGTTCCGCCGCGGCGTTGTCGCAGATACTGCCGGGTGATCCATTGTTCTTGGGAGGTCAGCAGCTGATAGAAGGACTTGCAGACCAGCTTCAGCGGTAATAAATCGGTGACGCCGCAGTGGGCGAATATCTTGATCTGGATTTCAACGGGGAGGAGGTCCCAGGGGGCCGAGGTCGGTACTATGTCCACTCTGTCAACATTGGGAAAACCCATGTCAGTAACGAGCACGCCTCGAGGCTTGAGCGTCGGTCATCTATCTTCAGCAGGGGCGGTCCAACGTACAACGACACGGAAGATGGCACTGCACCGTGTTTGGAGGAATTGCTCTTCTTGGCGTCGGATCTCTTGCCTCTGTTGATGGCAGCGCGTGCTTTTTTGGCTTGCAGCATGAAATTGTGGAATGTACTCATCGTCAAGTACCATTAGACATGAGGAGGCCAGCTCCGACTTCAGCACTTTGAGAATAGACAGCTTGACACCATAGAGAGCCCTGATTTCTCTCGTCGATCGTTTAAAAGGGATTCTCCACTGGCGCCTTTTGGGGGGTAGAGGGGCGATGACTAAGCAGGGCTGAGCAAGAGGATTGTTGCTAATTTAGAAGCAGGCCACGAATAGAAGCGGACCACACGGGGTGTATAGGCTGGGTGAGGTGAATCTGGTGTAGGTGGAGGTAGATAGAGGCGAGGTCATGTTCAAAAGATGAGACTAGAGAAGGAGAAAGAATGGAGACGGAGGCAGATGCGGTCGTCTGAAACGGACTGCTGATTGGGGGCTGGATTCACTACTCGCGGCGACTGAGTGCAAGAGATGACCAGTCACTGACCAGTCACTGACCAGTCACTGACCAGTCAAGCGTTGCAATCGCGTCGAATTCCGCTTAAGCGGCGGCTAACTAGCCATTAGCCAGCATAGTCTAATGACAGGTGAGAAGGGGGGGGTGATTTTATGTCAACTTCGCAGACATGCATGCATAATAAGGTAATCAAAGGATTGGAGAGGGGTAAGCAAAGCAAGAAGCAAGCCGTGTCACAATCCGCAGTCGGACTTACGTCATTAGGAACAGGGGTCAGCACCAGCTATTGTTCACTTCTTCCACAACGAGGGGCACGCTGCGCATCATTCTTGCCCTGCACAGCTCACTTAATCTGAGAATCCAACCCAACATCCTTTGTACTGAGTCACCAAGTCTTGCCGATACGAACTATGTCCGAGAATATCCTCATCGTCGGTGCTACCAGAGGCTTGGGGTCATCCCTCAAGACTCTATATGCAGGGAGACAATCCACGAAGACGGTTTTTGCAACCACCCGACATTCTACGAAGCCAAAAGACGAGCCTCTTGTCTCATGGATTCCGAACATTGACGTGTCCAAACCTGATGTCGGCCAGAGTTTGGTTTCCCAGCTGCCCTCATCTGAGAAGATCTCAACAGTCATCATCTCCGCGGGCTATTTTGGGTTCGAGACATTTGATGATCCCGATTGGGAGAAACAAGTCAAGATGTATACCACCTCTGCTATTGGGCCTGTCTTTCTAGTCCATCACCTGGTCAAAGCCGGACTCTTGGATGCCGGTAGCAAGATAATTCTGGTCAGTAGCGAGAGTGGAAGCATTACGCTGCGTCATGAGAAGGAGGGTGGCGGAAATTATGGTCACCATGCCAGCAAAGCAGCTCTTAATATGGTCGGGAAGCTGCTGAGTTTGGACCTCAAAGACAAAGGAATCGCTGTCGGCATAGTCCATCCTGGGTTTATGCGCACGGAGATGACAAAGGGTGTGGGGTTTGACAAGTACTGGGATGCCGGCGGAGGTAGGTCGTCGAATCGTTTGCATGTGTCACCTGTTTCTCGTTTAAAGACACACTGACCGCTTGTCCTTGCAGCTGTCACCCCAGATGAGGCAGCAGAATCGCTCGCTTCGTTTACAGACACGTTTGACCTCAGCAAGACCGGACAATACTGGGCACCGCGGGGCCCCAGGTTTGTGTAGCCTTTTTGAATATTCAGAGAACCAAGCTAATCTGGCCAGGGACATCGGGACTGCCGAGCCTGTCCTAGGTAGTGACTTGCCAACACCCCTCCAATTGCCCTGGTAGAAAGCTTTTGGCATGTTGAAGCTGGGGCTGGTACTGTGGTAACCAGAAAGCTCCGTTTCTTCGTCTGAAGGTAGCTTATTGATCAATAGCACCGGACATATGCTGTGCAGGATTTCATCATCGATACGAGGCATAGATTGCTTGTTGTAGGATTGAAAAGTGCTGTCAGTTGAGATCGGTCGAGGGTCTAGATATGTAAAGAGAGGACAAATACATTCGATCTCCCATGAGTTCTGACCTGTATATCAGCTGGGGCTGAAGCCAAAGAATACCAACTGGAGGCCGGTCAAGGCGGATCGAAGATCAAAAAAGAAAATCGACTTGCATCATCCGTGAATCGAACACGGGCCTCATCGATGGCAACGATGAATTCTACCACTAGACCAATGATGCTTGTTGTTGAGAACACCCTTGATTGTACATTGATAAGCTTGAAGCCTAAGAAAGACGTCTCGCTGTGGTGGTTAGTAGCTTGGTGATAATAATTCCAGCTAACGTGCTGTTTGCTGCGTGTTGCCATGTTGAATCACACCACGGGTCCGACAATATAGCCTTGTAATTATCTTCGCCGCAATGGATGTTTGGCATACCTAGGCATTCATAACATTTCGGCTCAGCCATAAAGCAGGTTTTCCGACCCGCGGTCTGCATGCACATGAGGAATGCCATCCCGAGCCGGTAATGACATATTGTTTGGTCTAGGCTGGAAATCGCCTTCATGCCAGCTCGATCTCTGCATTCATGCTTTAAAGTCTAGAGCACAGCCCAGGGTCATATCTACCCCTTTCCAGGAGGAACATTCAATTGACAGGATGTAGAAGGTGTGCCGACCGTTCTGTTTGTCACGCAAACCATGAGCATGTCGATCGAGGATTGGAATAGACCCCGACCATCAATGAAGTAGGGACCAACTTCTGGTTCTAGTAATTGAGATTAGCAGCGGTCAAGTATGCGATCCAGCGGAAATATGCGTATGACCCACTACCAAAGCACCATTGCCTGAGGCCAACGGTTGTACTGAGTACCAACGATTGTGGGATTGCCGCATTGGCTTCTTCTCTGCCGATGCTACTATCCATTCCGGTCCCTGTACCGCCTTGAATGTCACACTATAGCATGACGATAATTCCATCATGTTGTTTATCATCACACGAAGCAATGTAGGACCTGCTTGAAGCACCCACTGTCGCATTTGAGCATACCCCCAGATCAGGAAATCGGCCTTGACTTGGTGGCACAGGGCAGCACTATTAGTTCAACCTTAGCCCGACGACACACGAAGGAAGGATGAAGGATCATGGCACAGCCCCGTCGCGCCCGATCCCTTGGCGGAGAAAAAAGTGGGGTCATGCACCGTGCCTTCCTTTCTACCAGTCAGTGACTCAGCATACTTAACAGAAGACAATAGGAAGTCGTATCGGGTGACACAACAAATCACAGGATAAGTTGTTGACCCAGGTTGTTTGCTGCGGTACATACTTTGTCCAACGGGCTCAGCCCGCCGGGCGTATATTTTACAATTTCCAATGCCGAACATCCGTCGCATTTCGCGCTAAATCCTTCGCTTTTCCTCGGGGGAAAGTAGACGTATGCCAAGGTTGGCAACACTAGTGTCCAAGGCGGGTCCACGGTCAAAAGACTCAATAGTTAATAGGGCTGTGCACCGCAGAGCCTCAGATGCGACGGGAAAAACGTACCCCATTGACCTGACCTAATGATGACCAGTCGAGGGACTAGAAAACGTCTGGAAGTATTGGTCCCTTCACGTGGGCAGGATGACAGTAGATCTGGGTGCCCCGCTCAATGAGGCACAGTATCCCAGGGTACCAGGGCAACGATGCAGAGGAATGTCGAACCAAACAACGTTGCAGTAGGGGCATTCCGATCGTCCCGTCCATGTGTCGAGTGTCCAGTTTTGATGTAGGGATTGGATCCGTATGGTTGGCCAGCTCTTTTTGCTTTTCGCAAGTGATGTAATAAGTGATCGACCGGGGGTGGTCGGTATTGGCTAGTGAATGGCTCCGAGATTTGAGACCGGATAAGACGGCCATTTTTTGAACCGGCACGCATTTGGTTCTCTTGCGGACTAGTTTCTAGGCTGAACGCTAGGCAATAAACCAAGAAGGTCTGCTGTGAAAGGAGAGCTTTGATCGACCTATGGTGAATATTGATGTGGGGAGCCGAGGAACTCAAAGAGTATCAAAGGTTCTTGAAGTCTGCCTCAAGGAGCTCTAAGCCTCCCTCCCGAGTTCCGAAGATAGGGGCGAGGGGCGAGGGGCGAGGGCGGTGAATCTCTGCTGCTGCTCTTATGATGAGTTGTGAGCTCAGCCTTGGACCCTGTCCCAATGAGAGCGACAGCAAGGTCGGATTTGAGTTGGCCAAGAGGCAGCCTGAGGAATCAAGGGCCTCAAGGCGGCGGCCCCGAATAGCCTACTCCGGAGTAGTTGGTAGGAATGGGCCAGACCCCACAGCTGGGCGAAGTACATGTGTACACAGTAGATCCACTTGATAGGTGATACCCCTTGGCTCATGCGGAGAAAGAATATCTGATCTCCGGGCAAGTGACATGGAAGGATCGATGAATGACGGTAGAGTACAGTACTAAGTACAGCAGTACTCCAGGCTAGTGAATGGACTAGTTGCATGCGGTAGGTGCCGTTGGCAGCTTTGAGCTTTGGGACCAAACGAAAAGTAAAATGTCCGACAGCTGCGAGCGCCCCTCCCCTCCCATGGTCGGACGACTCACACACCAGCTCGACTACTATTTAATCATCTCTTCCCCTCCTTCACGGCCCTGCTTTTTGACTTCATCCATCATTCCTCAATTTAACCTTGCATTTATCTTGAGGTATCTTACGTCCCCTTGCCTGGTTGATATCATACCACTTCATCTATCCGACTATTGTATACAAACGGTCGCGCATAAATCCTCGTCACTCATACAATCTGAAACACATACCAATCATGTCCGACATCAATGGAAAAGCGCCTGCTCAGCCGGTGGACCCCCGCCCCTCGGCTTCGGCGCGCAATAATTTGGTCAACGTGCAGCCGGCGCGCCTAGAGGACTTGCAGCCCAAGTACGCTCAGCAAATCCAGCACAGCGAGGACAACCCGGACGCGCATGGCTGGTACGCAGGATTCAGTGGGTTCACCTGATGCAATGAGATCCCTGTTCTTCCTAGATCCCGGTCTAACAAAGCACCTCCCTGGGTAGTTCACGGACTGGGAGAGTTTATCGGATGTCTGGGTGCCATACCATGCTGCTTTTGTTGCCCAAACCCCTTCAAGCCCGTTGCACAAGGTGAAGTCGGCTTGATCACAAGATTCGGGCGGTATGTGACTTTCGCTACCTCTTGTACTCCCATGCTTTCGTTGAACCGCATATACTGATGCTTCGCGCTCCTAGATTCGAGCGCGCTGTCGACCCGGGTCTCGTCAAGGTGAACCCTCTTAGTGAGCACCTCACGGCTGTGGACGTCAAGATTCAGATTGTTGAAGTGCCTCGCCAAAGCTGCATGACCAAGGATAACGTCAATTTGAACTTGAGCTCCGTTATCTACTACCAGATCGTCTCGCCCCACAAGGCTGCATTCGGTATTTCCAACATCCGACAAGCGCTCGTAGAGCGCACTCAAACCACCTTGCGCCATGTGATCGGAGCGCGGGTCCTGCAAGATGTGATTGAGCGCCGTGAAGAAATCGCCCAGTCGACATCGGAGATCATCGAGGACGTGGCCTCCGGATGGGGTGTCGCAGTCGAGTCGATGCTCATTAAAGATATCATTTTTAGTAATGACTTGCAAGACTCACTCTCTATGGCTGCGCAGTCCAAGCGTATTGGTGAGAGTAAGGTTATCGCTGCCCGGGCTGAAGTAGAGTCGGCCAAGCTTATGCGTCAGGTACGTTTCAAGCGCTGTTCCCGTTACATCCAAGTCGCAGTGACTAATTCAAACCTTTCAGGCCGCCGATATCCTGTCCTCGGCTCCTGCTATGCAAATCCGCTACCTTGAGGCGATGCAAGCCATGGCCAAGACGGCCAACAGCAAGGTCATCTTTCTCCCAGCAATGAACCAGACAGTGCAGCAGCAGCTTGCAGCAGCTGAAAATGCTGGGGAGGGGCCAAGCCGATATGGACAACAAGCCGAAGATGGATTTCAGCGTGCAATGAATGCACGTGTGGTCGAGAATATCTAAGCACCACGGCATTGTTTTCTGTGATATGGCGGAAATTGATGCTTACAATGATGAGTTTGATGGAAATGTCGCGTGGTTGGACATGTTTGGATCTTGCCCATGACGTTCTCTAAGACGGCGTTGCTGCTGCTACATTGTGCTTTTCACATGGTTGCTGCAGTTTGCATTCATCCGCGGATGATTATGACGATACCCACCCTCGTTTTTGCTTTTGCTTATGATACTCCCGAAATGCGTTTGACCTTCTTTGTTGATAGTTTCTGCTATCGCTTTGATAATATCCTTGACCTGATAATATTATTGTGCTCCAATCGAGACTAGCTCGATGTTGGTGTTATCATCGCAGCTAACACCGTACTTTACGTAAGTTGAAAGCTCAGTAAACTAGAAGCGGTATCATAGAGATCCATGTTTCTAGAACCTCAGAAAAGGTCATTCAAGATATATTTCCCAGACTGGTGTACAGTAGTACATACAGTGCATACTGCCGTAGGCGGTGTGCGGCCGAGTGCGGAGGTATTTGTATGGGGAACAGCGACAATCCCGCAACAACCCCCCCCCATGTCCTCAAGTTCGCATAGCCAATTATTCAGCTCCCTTACTTTTGGTATCTTGTCATCCCTGGGAGCCCGCCGATGAAAATAAGCGCACAATCAACCGATAGATTCGCCGCCCAGAGGATCCCAGACTGAAAAAAAGAGGAAACAACCAGTGAAGGTCAAGCCAACATGGCTCCCTCCAAGACCCCCAGTCCAGCGCCCCCCCAAGCCAGCGCGCGACCGTCCCTCGAGCAGAACCTCAACCCCGACTTCACCGACCCGTCCTTCGATCCCGCCGAATACCTCAACAATGCACTCCCTGCCCTGACGCTGGCGTCTTCGCAGTCGACCAACAGCAGCAGCAATCCCCGAGGGGCGACCGCCGGCTTGCCCGAGATGTCCACTCAAATCCAGTCCGTTCTCTCGCAGATCAGCGCGCACAATGTCCGGCATTCGAGCATGCTCACGCGATTGACCGATGAGATCCTACGGGGCGGCAGTCGGTTGGCCTACGAGGTGGAGGTGCTGCGCGGCGAGACGATCGCGTTGTCGGATACGCTTGCGGAGGCCCTACGTGGGGATATCGCTAAGTTTGTTCCGGAGGGCCACCCGGAGGGGGTGGATGGGGGTCAGAAGGGGCTGGATGATAAGGGGGAGGGCCACGATCGTGACTCCGAAGCTGTCAATGTCGGAGCGGGGGATGTGGATGGCAAGGCCGAGGAGACAGAAGCAGAGGCAGAAGCTGCTACGATACAGGACCCGGAGTTCATTACGAAGTTACGTATGCTGAATCAGGTGCGGGCTCGGTTGGAGGAGGTCGTGCAGACGTTCGGGGACGCGATGGAGTGGCCCATCCCGCCGTCGGAGACCTCCCTGGCTTCGTCGTTCATCTCAGTGTCGGCGCCAGAGGCCGGGCCGGAGAATCAAAGTCGGGAGGAAAAGGGGCAGGAGGCGGCCAGGCGACTGCGGGCGGAGGTGACGGGCCTTCTGGAGAGCAATGGTGGCGGTCTGGAGGGGGTGGAGGCTGCGTCGCGCCGGGTCGAGGCGCTGCGGACGTTGGCGTTGGTCTGGAAGGGGACGGCCGAGGAGAAGGCTCGGACTCGCGCGGTGGACAGCCTGGCGAAAATCGTTGAGGATCGTCGCAGAGCTCTGGAGAGCCAGAGCCGAGCGGACTCGTCGCAGCAAGCTTCTGGCGCCTCTACCAAAGCACAGTCGGCGGGCCACCGACGGCAGGAGAGCGAAGGCCCGGCCGGTGGCATCTTCCGCAACTTGCAGCGGTTACGAGAGGAGATCTATCTTGAATGAGATGATAGAGATTACAATTAATCATTAGCATATTTATGTCCCAGCAAGTAGAAGCAAAGCTTCTTACTAACCACTCGGTCTGTTGCATGTCACTGGTGCGGAGATTCTTGGAATGGATATCTATCTCAGCTGTCCATTGTCCCTCTTCCATGTTGGGAAAGGGAGGGGTAAGACTCGACTCGGGAATGCTGCTGCTTGCACGGGAGACTGTGTGATAGGGCGGCGGATGGTCCCTCTTCAGGCTTGCGCCATTTGAAGGCTTGGTAGCTCTTAGCGTCCCGTGCAGAGAAAGGCTTAAGTTCCCCAGCATTGCGCATTTGCTGCTCACCTGCTGCTGTGTCCGTGAACCATAGGTTGGATTCCCCAACTAGCTCGGTTGAGAGCTTCATCGTCTATTCCCAGAACAGACCATATCTGTGGAGTGGCGCATTGGGAAACGTCAGAGAGCGACGTACTTCAGAGAGGGACACCTAATGTGAAACGAGTATGCGACTGCTGCCAAGACTGCGGGAGGACCGAGAGAAGCAGCGAGAGCATGGATGCGCAGGGCTGATGACGCGGCACCGCCCAGAGAATGGTTGTTGGGATAGATATCCGGATGAGTAGACAGGATGTTGTACAGAGATGATTATTTATTAGGGATTGATCATTTCAGGGGAAAGACGATCTTAGAGAGTTCGTGATAACAGTAATCTGTCCAACTCTTGTACAAGCTCAAGCTTATGTTGTTGGAACAATAAGATGGTACTTGAATAAGATGGGTAGAAAAAGAAAGTTGGCAGTGGATTGAATGAATGAATGGACTTCCACCCCCCACCGGGCCAGAGAAGAAAAGCGACCGCCAATCAATACCCGAGCGACTTTATCCAGTGATTCCAGAGTCCCTGACGGCTCCCCCCCCAGCAGGCAACGTAAAAGTCACCACTTCCACTCCTCAATTGACTAACTAAACTTAAACATCGCTCGGACTAGACCTGTGTTCGACCGGTCTTCGACTAAAGAACTTCTTCTTCTTCTTCTTCTTCTTCTGCCTCTTCTTCACCTACTTCTTTTTCCTCCGCCGCCTCCGCCTCGGATTCCCCCTCCTTCTGACTCTTTGCGACTCCTCCTTTCATTTCCTATCGTATGGATCTTTTACCCGTTGTTGCGCTGGTCACCATCATCCTTTGAGTGCCGTGCTCACCATTGGCTTGCCGTCCCACATCTCCACCTTCTTCGCCGGCTCCATCATGGCTCTTTGCGACCTCTGTTGATTTGCCTCTTAAAATTGCTCCTCCCCGGTTGCCTTTCTACCCTGGCTCTGGCTCAGTGGTTGCACGTTCCGCCTGCAGGAATGTTCATCGCCCGGTATATACTTCTGAACACTGGCTGATCTCCCCTGCTCTGGCCCCAACCGATACGAACTGGCAACATAATCCAATTGCCCATCGCCATTAGTGAGCGGTGGTTCTTCACACCACCCCCTGGTGAAGCATTTCATATTTCGCGCTGAGCGACCGCAAGAATGTCAAGTCGAGGCATTCTTGACGGCCAATGGGCCGATCAATACAAGTATATGCGGTCGTCCGCATCCTCACTCTGGCTGCAACATCTTCACCCTCGTCGCTTAAGAGCTCGTCCCATCAGGACCTTCTTTCTATTCGCAGCATGTTTTTTCTTGCTCACCTTATGGTCGCGCTCATCCAGCGAGGTAGGTACATTGCCTCCTGCCCTAGAATGAACCCGATTGCTGATTAGGATTCCTTGCTAGCCATCGATTAACTTCTGGGTAAAGTACCCATCCTACCCTCCGACGCGACAGCGCCCTGAAGATACGCCAATGCTCCTTAGCGGGCGACATGCCATGAATAAGAACGAGACCGCCCCTCTGGGCCTAGGAAGGTCGGCGCCGTCCTTTCACCTCCTTATACCCGTGTCGCACAAATCAGCCTCGCTCTGTCGCACCGTGACGTCGTCGATGATCCTGAACTACCCACCGCCGACCCTGATCAGCTACGGAAAGTCCACTTCGGACGGGAGCACAGAATACTCCGCCATGGTAGACAGGATCGCGGGGATATACAATTACCTCGCATACAGCACACAGCTGAATGACGATGATCTGGTCCTCATTGTCGACTCACAGGATGTGTTTTTCCAGTTGCCTGCAGAGGTGTTGGTTCAGCGTTTCCAGGACCTGCTACGGGAGACCAACGAGAAATTGCTACGCAAATATGGCACCATAACCCTGGACCTGCCCTTTCGTAAAGAAGGCAAACAGACTCTGCAAAAATACTCTCAGAGAGTCTTGTTCGCCGCTAGCAAGACGTGTATATCGAGTCTTTCTCAGGATCCAGGTTGCGTGACGGTACCGCAATCGAGTTTGCCTCCTGATGCTTACGGTTGGAAGACCGACACGGAAGGACACTTGAATCGACCACGGTGGCTCAAGCCTGGCGCAGTCATGGGCCAGGTGGGTGACTTACGGCTCATATACGCCGAGATATTGCATTACGTTCATCAGCACCGCAACTCGCGGGGAGACTATCTGGCGATGACCCAGATGTTTGGGCGCCAGGAATATTTACGCGAGCTGGAACGAAGAAACAGCGCCAGCAGGCTGAAAGAATGGCTCTATCGCCAGATCGGCATCTCGGATGCGTCAAATCTCACTGGAGCCATCCCGCCACACTTGACAGCGGGCACTCGGTATGAGTATGGCATCGGGGTTGACTATGAATCCCGTTTGTTCTTCAACATGTTCAACGCCAAGATGGATGTCGAATGGCTCCACTATCACAACGTGAGCACGACTTCAGCGGTGCAGATGAAGCATGGCGTGCCCAGAGAGAGACGTCTCATGCTCCCCGAAGACCTTGATCCCGTGAAACTCGGCAACCCATTTGTTCAGCCCCGACTCACGAAGGATGACTGGCCAAATCCCCCTTGGAATGCTACACTGGACAAGCTGCCAAATTATCGCAACCACACGTGGCGTGATCTTCCATTGATGACAAACGTCCATTCGGCATCTGTCCCAGCTCTGCTACATCTCGACGGGGATAAATCTGTTCGTGACAAATGGTGGTCGGAGATGTGGTACCAGCCATGGGCCCGGGCACTTCTCCGCAAGTACATGCGCACCAGCTCTGGATTTGACGCCTCTCAGTCTGCCTTGATGGGCGGCCAAGAATGGTGGGACATGCGTGGCGGCAAGGGAGGCCTGTGGACGGACAAGGGTGAGTGGCTCAATTATGGTGAGGTTTGCGGTAGCTATACCAGGGATGTGTTCGACGATGATCTTGGGCCATTTGGCCAGGAGAATGGAGAGGATGCCGACGAGCCCGTCTACAACCAGTTCGGGAATGTTATCAAGGGTAAAGAGGATCTGGCCTCTACCCCGTGGTAGACCGCTCCTCTTGGATCTCAGAGACTGGTTTTCTGAGGTTCGAGCCCACAGAGAGGCGGATGAGATGTGTGCTGGCTGACGCTCTCATGTAGTCGCCAGGCGTGATCGATTCTCGTTGCACATATTACGCGATTGGCGCCACGGAGCGCAGCAATAGTCCGGTCATGAGTCATGGCTGTGCATATATTCCCACGGTGTTGGGCTTTCCTTATTTGAATTAGCGAATTATGTTGTCTGCTTCGCTGTGAAACGTGGCATGCCTTTAGAGCAGCCACTTTGAAATGGCTAGTGTCCTCACTTGGACTGCGCGGAAGCAGTAGCCACTGCATATAGTTCATCAGAGATACCAATCTTGTATAGATAGATAGAGCATGCCTTAATTTCATTCCCCCATTCAAGCTAATGCAAAAAAACATCAGTAAAGTCAGATTATATGAATCTGTTTCAAGAAAATGCCTATCATGTCAAGCATCACGGGTATATATGTAGAATCCACTACCAACACTTTTCCTCTCCAAGTCTGTACCTAAAAGCATCAATCAATCTCAACTCGCAGCCGCAGCCGCAGCACCTCCTCCCAACGTCTCCCGAATGATAGTCAAAATCCCCGCCACATCCGCCTCACTCAACCGTTCCTCCCGCTCCTCGATTACTGTATCCAACAGAGCCATAGCCCCGTAATCCTCCTCCGCCAACTCTCCACTGCCCGCTTCCCCATTCTCACCACCAGCACCAGCAGCAGCCTGCCCCCCATTGGTAGCCCCACCATCCACCTCCATCTCCTCCGGCTGCTCTCCCTCCTCTCCCGCACCACCCTCTTCTTCCACTACTTCTTCCTCATATTCCTCCGTCTCCCCCTCCTCCTCCTCCCCCTCCTCAGCCGCAGCAGCCGGCATCAACCCAATCCCCAGATTAACAATCATGAGCACCTCACCCTTCGTAAGCCCATAGGGTTTCAACCGGGTAACGAGGTCCCGGAGGGCACGGTCGACGGGGGTCGGCTTGGTGAGGAGCGTCGGGGGCAGGAGCGTCGGGGGCGCCGCCGAGCCGGTATCTTTGTTGCTGTTGCTGTTGCTGTTACTGGTGTTGTGGAGGTTGGCGTGCGCCTGCGCCTGCGCCTCGAGTTCCGCGAGCGGGATGTGCGTGTATTGCGGGTAGGATTGGAGGTGCGGGGAGAGGCGCGAGACGTAGTTGTGGATCTGGGTTCGAAGAGGGTTTAGTTATCTGTTTTGGGGATGGGGTCATGGGGTCATGGGGGGTCATGGGCTAGAGTGACGGAGTGTATAGGCCTACCTCCTTGACGACGGTATTGTGGTCGCGGAGATCCGGGCTGGGAACCCAGTGGCGGGAGTTGGGCGGCGGGTTGGGAGGTCGTCGCGGCGGGTTGGCTGTTAGGTAGGCTAGGACCTCGATGTTGGAGAGGACGGCGGATTGGGGGTCGATGATCTAGGTGGGTGTGTTAGTTTTGTGTTTTGATTGGGAGAGAGAGAGGGCGATGCAGGCGGCTGGGCTCACCCTCATGTTTTGTTGATTTGGGAATTGGCTGGTTTGGAATTGATTCTAGATTTGGTTTGAGGGGGTTCGAATGTTGCGGAAAAAAAGTGCTGGAGATGCGGGGCGGAGAGGAGGGATTCTGCCGGTTGATGAGGGCGGTGATGACTGTAGTTGCCTGAGGCTGAGAGCGGTCGGTGAGTCGGGTTGTCTGGACTGTTTCCGATGCGGTAAGAAGGCGATGCTCCAGGGTCAGGCACCTGACCTGCGGAGGAACTGATCTGGTGCTGCTACGACTTGCACTTCAGACAATCTCTTGAGCAGGATCTCATTCGCATCATTCTTCTTCTATTGTGTATCCACCTGTGATTCTAAGCTTATTCCGTCCTGCAGATATTGACCAGAAACCTGGCAACACGTGCGCAACATGCCTGTCTGCCCCCTTCGGCAGTTGATCTTATGCAGCTATGATGGAAGCTTAGCAATTTCTAGTGTGGCACTAACAGCCCAGCGTGATTCACCTTGATACATACTTCCCTACCTTACGGTTTGCTATGCAGTGATAGTCTTTGTTATGCTCCGTCCTGCAGCAGACCTTGCCTAAACCAAGCGAGCACCTCGCAAACACCCTGAGCTTCTGGTAAATGGGGCCGATGCGGGTCCATGATTCCGTTCCTGCAGACAGCCCTCGCAGACTGAGACCCGTGGCCGAAATTGGCCCGCATACCAATCGGTCCGATCATCTACTCACACGCCAGACCTGGCAAGATATCATACCTTAATTGAGATCGACTTGGATGTTGTCGTTTCAGGCTGCGTTCCCGAAAAATAGCCAGTAAAGCAGACTCCGTGTCTTCCGTTCCTGAACAGCACAAGGGTCTGAATATGCGGGATTCATTAGCAAGAATTCGCTTCTTCTCGGAATTTGCACTGCTTAGTGATAGAAGACGAGCCGTTGTGCAGCAGATGAGGATATTTGCGAGTCCACTCTTGTCCCCTGAACCTGAATTTGTCAGATCTTTGCATTCCAACCGGTGGTTTCTAGTCGACCGTCCATCTTCTAGGACCCGCTTTTAACCTTCAACGCCCATGATTAGATGGAACTCTAGATAATTTCCTGCACCCCACGGCAAATGCTCAAGCCCACTGCGCCCATTTCCTCGCGAGGGGCTCGTTCGACGAGGGACCTCGACTGATCTGCGACATAGCTTGCCTAATCCAGATAGAAAATTCCCTCGTGGATGAGGGTCTTTCCATGTATATTGCACAAGTGGACCTCCGGGCCGTGTTCAAACTGCCCGAACGTCGGAAATGGACGGGTTTCGACTCTTGAAGCTAGCTTGACTACGGAACCGGGATTCAACTTTTCCTTGAGATGAAGGTTCCCAGAACTGATTCAACGCAGTGATGCGGATCGAGATGACGGGCCACGCTCGGGTAATGATGGCGAGCCTCCCGGCAGTGTACACCTGAAAACCCATGCGACAATAGCCCGCCCTGGCGAACTATAAATTGATGTCTTATGCTGCCTGATCTCCCTCTGACTGGACTTCATCCTTGACAACGTCTTTGAGTTAGTCGATATGCGCTCTGCTATTGTTGGAGGACTGGTTGCCATCGGCTCCGCTCTTGGAGTCGCTGGCTCGCCGCATGCACACACTGTTGAAAAGGCCGATGCATATGACTACATCGTCGTCGGTGGAGGGCCTTCCGGCATCATTACCGCCGAGCGTCTGGCCGAGGCCAACAAGAAAGTCCTCCTGCTAGAGCGGGGGCGCGGTCCGACTGTGGCTACGGGTGCCAATGACACGCTTGTTTGGAACAAGAACTTGACCCCAGTCGATGTGCCAGGCTTGTCTGCCGACATTGGTGCTCTACCTGAGTGGGAGGAGTATGTCTGCACCGATACTGCTGGGACTGCAGCCTGTGTTCTCGGTGGCGGTGTCACTGTGAACTACATGGTCTTCGTGCACCCACCAGACCATGATTTCGACGATAAGTGGCCCCAGGGTTGGAAATGGAGCGATGTCAAGTCTGCTGCCGACAGGCTTTACGAGCGCAACCCAGGAACTATCCTGCCCTCTGCCGATGGCAAGCGCTACGATCAAGGGCTCTATACTGTGCTTTCCAACTTTTTCAGCAACATCGGTTGGAAAGCCGTCAACATGATCTCGCAGCCCAACCAGAAACACCAGGTCTACAGCTACCCTTCCTGGAACCTTAAGGACCAGAAGCGTGCGGGCCCGGTCCGCACCTACCTTCCCCTTGCTGAGAAGCATAACAACTTTGAGCTTCAGCTTGGCTCCAAGGTGACTCGTGTACTCCGTTCCGGTAGCAAGGCTACTGGAGTCGAGGTCGAGAACGCCTCCGGTCGTCTGGAAAACATCACACTGGCCGCCAACGGCAGAGTCGTCCTGTCTGCGGGCGCCCTTTCAACACCTCGCCTCTTGTTCAACTCGGGCATCGGACCTCAGTCTCAGATCGGGACCGCTCAAAAGAGCGGTGTCATCGTCCCACCCAAGAACGAATGGATCAACCTCCCCGTCGGTGTAGGTCTCAAGGACCATCCCATCTTCACCATCGTCGTCAAGACCAATGGCACGTACGGCCCGCTTGACTGGACCGGGATCTACAACGGCACTGATACCGCCGACATTAGTCTCTATGCCAAGGGCGACGGTGTGCTGACCCAAGGAAAGCACCGGCTGATCTTCTTCTCCTCCAATGTGGTCGACGGTCAGACCCGGTACTACCAAGGATCATGCGCGCCCACTGGCGAGAACGAAGTCACCCTGACGACCTACATGACCCACGGTCTCACTTCTTCCGGTGTCCTTGGACTGGATACTGACGGTAACACCGTCTATGAGCAGACCCCTTGGATGAACACCGCGGGCGATCGCGCTGCGGCCAAGCTGTTCATCGAGGGCCTGGTCGCCGACCTGACTGCCCCCTCCACCGGCTTCCAACTGGGGGCCAACACCAACGTCTCTTCCATCCTAGCCAACCCGACCACCGGTATGCACTACACGACCACCGCGAAGATGGGCACGGACGATGGCCGCCACGGGAACGGTACCTCCGTCGTCGATACCAACACGAAGGTCTATGGAATGGACAACTTGGTATGTGATTTCTCTCTGCAACATGAAGAACGTTTGCTGATCAATCTCCCGTGCAGTACATTGTCGATGGCAGTATTCACCCCGACCTTCCCACCGGTAACATCCAGGCCACCATTATGGTCGTGGCCGAGGCTGCTGTGGCCAAGATCCTGGCTCACCATTGAGTCTAGTGTTCAAGGGATATGGAGTCGAGAAAGACGCCTATTCTTGAGAGGCGATAGACACTCGAATGCTTATTGTATAGATTATCAACGGAGTCGATACGAGTAATGAGACACAAGCTTTGCTATATAGTTATGAATTTCTCCGACTCTCGAAGCATCGTAACTGTACTATACCTACAAGGGTCAGCACAGTCTCCTGAAACCCAATCGTCCAATGTGTATACCTAGTATGGTCCAGAGCAGCACCCGACCAAGTCCCCTTCCCGATTCCCGCTCGTGGTGGCTGCACAATCACTCCGCCCAAGCCTATAACTTACCGCTGATAACCCGTAGAATCAGCAGTCGGCGATGCTGGAAGTACCTGATCTAGACTTTTCTGCATGCTCATGCATCTCGATATAGTTAGATAAGTGCATCTATCTTGACGAGAGCCACTTCATCGCCACTCGCTCAGACCACACAGATTCTGATTTACCTCTTGTCTCATGTTACCTGGCAGTTCGCTACCGGGGAAACATATATCTTGCTCACAACACGACGCCTCATCCCTCTCCTGGGATACTTCAATCTCCATCCGGACAAGTATGTACTATGGTGGGTGTCGTGGTGGTCGGTGTGGGCTGAAACATCCGCGACCGACAACGGGTGGTATGTGAGCAAAATGACGATTGCCCTTTTTTTTTTTTTTTTTTTTTTTTTTTTTTTTTTCTTCCTCGCGCTGGGGATTCGTGTGTGGGATGCTGTGATGATTAGATGTAGGTCTTCTGGTTTGTTCTCCAAAGAGTCCTACGGTTTTGAAAGGAAAATGACTAGTGTGGTGCTGCACGCGATGCTGTGCCCATCGACTTCCAGCCTCCCTTTCTGTATCCTGCTCTCTCGCGACTTGAATACTCTCTATGTAAGGGACACTGCCTGCAGTCCCTCTGCAAGTGCCGACCAAGGCGATCTAAACTCATACATACTACGTTCATGCAGCACAAATCTTTTTTCTGAAGTTAACATTATTCCTGGAATTCGAACTGCCTTGACCAAAAAAAGCACCTCTGCGCCATGGGATAGGATGTGAAAAATGCTTCCATCCGTTCTTTGGAAATGCCACCCAAACACACAATATAACACTTCAACTCAAATAGCAAAAGGACAATAGGAAAAGAGACACAAAAGATGTGTGTGATATCATACAAGGAAACATCTCTCGAAGCGTAGCCATCCGTTAGAAGGTGGGGTGAGGAAAGAAGAACTTTTTTCTCTTTTATAAAAAAAAAAATTTGGGTCGTCCCCTTTACTCGTCGCTCTTGCTCTTGCTCTTCTTCTTCTTTTTCTTGTCGCTGGTGTCGACTTCCTCGCCGTCGTCGGAGCGCTTGCGCTTCTTCTCCTCGCCCTTGGCGGCCTTCTTGGCGTCCTTCTTGGCCTTCTTGATGTCCTTCTTGCTGACGGAGCTGGGCTTGCCCTCGGCGTCGAATTGGATCTCGCCCCGCTCGAGCTTGCGCTTGTACCGCTTGACGCTCAGGCCGGCCTGCTCGGCCAGCTTCTCGAGCTCGGAGTCCTTGCTCTTCTTCTTCTTCTTGGAGGACTCCTCGTCGGAGTCCTCGTCGGAGGAGTCTCCCTCGTCGTCGGAAGCGGCATCAACCATCTCCTCGTCCTCGACCTCCTCAACGAGCTTCTTGTCCTTCTTGCTCTTCTTGGCGGAAGCCGGGGGCTCGTCGCCGGTCAGAGCGTCAGCATCGGGGTTGTATCTCCGGGCCTCGTTGAGGTCAAACTTCTGG